TTGAGCTCCCCTACCCTGAGGGAAAAAAAATCTTTTCTATGTCCCTCAAGATTTTATAAACCTCTTTAAAAAGGTCACCCCTCAACCTCTTATGTTCCAGTAAAAAAAAGTCCCAGCTTCTCCTTAAAACACAAAAGGGATGAAAGCCTGGTCACAGAGGCAACAACTTAAATAAGGGGAGCAAGGTTTAGGGCTGGGAAGTTTAGGGAGAGAATTGTAGAACTTGGGGCCTATGCAATTAAAAGGGGTTGCAACCAATGCTGTTAATGATTAAAACAAGGATATACAAGAGGCCAGGCCGAGTGAAGTACAGGGAGATTGTGGAATTGGATACTATATAAATAGGGAGGGGCAAGGTCATGGAGGGTTCTGAAAGGAAAATAATTTTCAAAATGTTTACCACGTGTACCTGTGTAAACCTAGATTTTCGTAAATGCCAAACCATGACTTTTGACTGAAACGTTCATAATCTTTCAAAAACCTCATGTAAATGTTAATCTTCATTCCTCAGGGATGAAGACTTCAAAAATTTTAGAACCAAACTATGATCCTGGATGGAATGGATCAGGACACCAGAAATCACAACTTAATCAAATCACAAAATCATCACCCCCCCCACTCCCAACTTTGGGGATGGGGTGGGAGTTTCTTCAAGCTTACAGGTGAGATGGTAGGCACCTAATGTTTTTCTCCAGGGTCTTTCAGATGTTATATGATTAGTATTTACATGATATCAATGAAATGCAAACAAATTGAGTAAATTGATTCACAAATATGGGTCTACACAATCCATATCTGAAATGCGAAGGCAAAGCACTGGTACCCTTGTGGGGGAGGGGGGGTGCGGGGTGCACAAGTGAGAGAGGAAAAAAAAAGCAAGTGAGAGAGAGAAAAAAAGAGAGAAAGAAAAGAGCCAGAGAGAGAAAAAAGAGCGAGAGAGAAAGAGCAAGGAAAAAAACGAGAGAGAGAGAGAGAAAAGAGTGAGAAAAAAGAAAAAAGAGACACATGAAAGAAAGAATATTGTTTGGCAATTAAAACAACTTTGCTCATGTTTTTATCATTTCTACTCAAAGTTATTCCAATGATTATCTTAAAAAAAGATGGAAACTCGATGGTAGAATCTTATTGTAAAATAGACGAGTAAAATAAAATGAAGACTGCTGCCAATTGAAAGTAAACCCTATGATTAGAAACTTCTCAAATGAGGGAGTGATATTTGAGAGGTGATTTTACTCAAGTGAATATTTTCAGTCTGATTCATACTGGCTCAAATCAAGCATGTGCCAATCTCAAAAATTCTATTCATATAAAACTCAACTGTCAGTTTTCTTTCTTAACCTATATGAAATTGGTCTATAAAAACACAACTTTTAATTGGGGATATACAGCAAATTAAGAAACAACAAACACGTTAAGTCTGCAAATGTGTAAGTCAATGGAAACTTAAATTTTTCAACAATACAATACAGGAGGCATGAAAAGGGCGCTGACTCACTACTTCCTGTTTCAGTAACTGTCAGAAGCAGGTACTCAGGTCAAGGGGCCTACATCAGGGTCCAGTGGGGGGCTAGAGCCAGGAACAGCACCTGTGATTTTCTGTCGCCACTGAAGCCTCGGCTGTGGGTCACTATTAATACCAACGTCTTCACCGATAAGCAAACTGACCCGATAACACAAAGGTGTAGTACAGTAGGCCCCATTGACTGGGTGGTTCAGTTTAGTCTGCACACAACCCTTTAACCTTACAGGGGTGGAGTTAGGTGGGGATTTGAATTCAGCAATGAAACAACAGCATGGCTCCATCCTCCCCTGGTAGATAATTTCTAATATCACAGAAAACAGGAGCAGGCGTAGGCCATTCAATATGATCAACCAACTCAGTCCCCTGTACCCACTTTCTCCCCATAACCTTTTGATCCCCTTAACCCTAGGAAGTACATCTAACTCCTCTTTGAAAACAGTCAGTATTTTGGCCTCCAGAGTTTTCTGTGCAGAGAATTCCACTCTTTGGGGGAAGACAATTCTCCTCATCTTAGTCCTAAATGTTTCACCATGTACTGTTAATCTGTGATGCCCGATACTGAACACCCTGGTCACTGAAAACCTCCTTCCTGCATTTGCCCCATGTGGTCCAGTTGGAAATTTATAGGCTTCTACGAAATCCGTTCCACTCCTAATTTCTAAACTAACCAACCTGCTGCACCATTTCTGGATCAGATGAGACTTGAACCCAGACATCCAGGCCTAGAGATAGATACACAACCAGTGCGCCATAAAAGCCCTTCCACACTCCTCTTGTAAGGTCATCCCACCCAGACCCACTCCCCAAATCTGCATTTCCCCAATGTAATCCACCTAGCCGACGCATCCCTGGATGCTGTGGGGCAATTTAGCAAGGCCAATCCGCCCTAACCTGCACATCTTTGGACTGTGGGAGGAAACCCACACAGACACAGGGAAAATGTGCAAACTCCACACAGACAGTCGCCCTAGGGTGGAAACAAACCCGGGTTAGTTTTATTGGTTGTGGGTACGGGGTGCTTTACATTCGTCAGTAGCTGCCCTAGCAAACTGAGGCATATAAATAACAAACGGGACAGAACGCCAACGCTTCACCAGAAGCGCACTGATGATGTTACCCAGCAGGATGACGAAACGCCTGCGATCAAACACACCGGCTCGGCCAGCATGTCTACAACCTCAGAGCCACCCTAAGGGTGTGACCACATAACCTCTGTCAATTGCTGTAAAAACCCCATCCTTTGGGAAGGGAAATCTGCCATCCTTACCTAGCCTGACCTACAGGTGATTCCTCACCCACAGCAACGTGCTTGACTTTTAACTGCCCTCTGGGCAATTAGGGATGGGTAATAAATGCAATGCACTCATTCTGTGAGCAAATAAAGAAATTCAGCCTACATCCCACCAGTTCCATACATGATTACTGGCTGTCAAAGGCAGAACAGGGGGAGACAATGGCCTACTGGTATTAATTGCTAGAATATTAATCCAGAGACCCAAGTAATGCCCTGGGGACCCAGTTTCAAATCCTGCCACAGCACATGATGAAATATAAATCCAAATCAAAAAAATCTGGAATTAAGCGTCTAATGAAACCATTGCCAATTGTTGGGAATAAAACCAATGTGGTTCAATTATGCCCTTCAGGGAAGAAATTCTGCCATCTTTAACCAGGTCTGGGCTACATGGGACTCCAGACCCACAGCAATGTGGATGACTCTTGACTGCCCTTTGGGCAATTAGGGATGGGTAACAAGTGCTTGCCAGGCATCATGTGAATGAATAAACAAAAAAAAAACTGCTAAAACTACAATGCCCATCAGTGAGAAGCACAGAAACGTACACCCAATAACCAAACAGCCTCCTCAGTAAACTAAACAAATCCAATTTAAAACAAGGCACACTTTACATGTGTACTAGCTACAGTAAGAGGTGTTGATTTCAAGGCTGGGGCTGGGGATTGGCTGAAATGACCAAGAGGTTGAATATTAAAATCTGTAAGAACTGCAGATGCTGTAAATCAGAGACAGAAGTGGAAATTGCTGGAAAAGCTCAGCAGGTCTGGTAGCATGCGTGGTGAGAAATCAGTTAACACTTCAGATCCGGTGACCCTTCCTCGGAACCTGAGGACTAACTGGGAGTAAAGTTGTTTTTGTGCCACAGGGTTTGGGGTGCATCAACAGACCCCAAAATGGCATTAACTTATGCATTTAATTTAAATTAAAGTTTAATTTATATTTGAGATTGCTTTGAACTTTTTGGATGTTTCTCTTCTTTACAGTGAGATGTGGGCTAGCATTTGTCGTCCATTCCTAATTGTCCTTGACTATGGGGGGGCACGGTGGTCCTGTGGTTAGCACTGCTGCAACAATTGGATTACAGTATACAGTATATAGTTTTCCTTATTAAAGAAGAAAGGGTCTAAATGCATTGGAAGCAGTTCAGAGAAGGTTTACTAGTCGAATTCCTGGCATGGGTGAGATATCTTACAAAAAAAAAGTTAGACAGACTGGGCCTGTAGGTGGTATGCATTGGAGGTTAGAGGCTCAGGGTGGCTCAGTGGTTAGCACTGCTGCCTCACAGCAGCACCAGCGACCCGGGTTCAATTCCACTCTCGGGCGATTGTCTGTGTGGAGTTTGCACATTCTCCCCGTGTCTGCGTGGGTTTGTTCTGGGTGCTCCAGTTTCCTTCCATAGTCCACAGATGTGCAGGCTAGGTGGATTAGCCTTGGTAGATTAGCCTTGGTAGATGTGTGGTTATGGGAACAGGGTGGAGGTCTGGGTGGGATGCTGATCGGAGGGTGAGTGCGTATCTTGATGGGCTGAATGGCCTGCTTCCACACCATAAGCATTGTATCGTTCTATGAACGGAGTGCCTCACTAGGGCAGTTAAGAGGGCAATTGCTGTGTTCTGGGGGTCACGTGTCGACGGGGTAAGAACAGCAGATTTCCTTCCCTGAAGGAGAATTTGTGGAGCAAAATGACATTCTATGATAACCAATATGTGTCACTATTACTCTCACTAACTTCCAATTCCAGATTTTATTACAGCAAACCTCTTATCCCACATAATCCATGTAAAAACAGACACTAAGTAACAGAAATGCAATGCAGGGGGCACACTCATCACTGTTATACTTTAATTACAGCATAAAATCACTTTAATAATAACGCAACTAAATAAAACGTACCAGCAAAGAACCTTCTCACTCGCGCCCTCAACCAAACATCACAGAAATCACCATAACATAGTAAACTTTGCGGTCTTTAAGGGATATAATTTTGCCGGTTTATCAAGAATGCCAATTCATAAAGTGCCGGTTAAAACCAAGTTTGCTAATAATTAAAATCAGACTGCACCCCAGCTGCCATGATATGATTTGAACCCAGATCCCAAGAACATTAGCTTGGGCCTCTGTATGGATCACTAGTCCAGTGACATCACCAATATTCCACCGTCTCTCCCTTGAAGGAGCAGACTATGAGCTTATTTTGCTCGTCTGTGTCTCTGTAAGAGAAAAAGAGAGAGAAAAAGAGAGAGAAAAAGAGAGAGAGAAAAAGAGAGAGAGAAAAAGAGAGA